TTTATTTATTTGTCACGCTAATATTTGAAACTACAAGACCGATTTGAAAAATTATTTTATATACGATAGCCAGATTCATAAGAAATAGTATAAGCTGTATAACATCAGGCTATACCTCTTAGCTAGTCTTAAATGTTTTTTTTTTTTTTTTTTTTTTTTTTATAGGATAGGGTGACAAACGAGCACACAGTCCACCTGATGGTAAGTGGTTGCTGCGGCCCATAGACATCTACATCTATCTTCCATTACAAATCAAAATGCAGATGCGTTGTCACCCGTGAGGACTGAGATGGAATGCCTCATTTCCAGTAAAAAGGGTCTCCGGTTCTCTACACTCACCATACGAAATACAGCAGCATTAAGCTACTATTTCACGCTGGTATTCTGTGAGAGCGTGGTCCTTCCCCGGTCGAGCCGACCCATTCGTGCTACAACTATACTACTAATATAATTGCAGCATGGCTCTACCACGTATAAATGTTGCAAGTCGGAAGAAAAAGTGCTCCCGAACTGCTTTATCCGTGCGCTGGCATAGTGGTTAGTGATACGTAAATACAATGTACTACAAAAATATTTCATCTTTTCTTTAAAGTGTGCGATACCATAATATCTGTTTCTTATACATAAGCCACAATAAGGTATTTTGTGAAAAAAATATTGAAAATTAAAAAGCGATTTATGAGTGTTATTATTAATCATTCCTTACGAACGAAAGTTACTTTCACAATATTAACAATCAAAACAATTTTATGAAGGTCAACTTCGAAGGATGCATATCTCTAGCCGCCCAATAAGAGCCGGTAGAAACCAGAAGCGGGAGAAACCAGCGAGGGGTCACAGCAATAAGCGAGGTGTCACAGCGATAAGCGAGATGGCATAGCTAGTTTCATAACAACGTAATAATTTCTGACTTTTGGGTTTCATTAAAATTGGGTTTCATTAAAAAAAAAAACATATATTTTAGTATGGAAACCCCAGCAGCTCTGTGTTGGAATAACAAATGAGCCGGATAGTGATGGGTTCTAGGGTTTAGATAATTTTGTATGATTATAATGCTTTGTGGAGATTACAGCAGACTCGCCATTAATAATGTGTCGGTCTTTGATGTATTAGTGTGCGACTAACCAAATTGTAGGATCTTAGAGGCTTCAAACATTTTCAATGTCAAGTAGAACATACAAGGTATGTTCTACCAGCGTCTAAAAATCGAGAATCCAAGGTTTTGTCGCATGAAATCGTATTTAACAATCATATTGAACAATTAAATGATATAAATTTTTTTTTTATATTTTTTTCACATTATGAGCCGTGCACTTTTGGATTTTCCAAACTTTATTTTATTGACGTTTAACATAAAATTATCGGAAAATTAAAAGTATAGTAATACAATTATCAGTGAAAACTTGTGTGTATTTAAGATACTTTAAAAATTTGACGTATGCATGCACATTTGGATTTACCAAAAGTTTATTTTTGAAAATGTTCGTGAATCCACAATTCAATCAGCTGTTTAGTGTTGATGTCAGCTAGTAATATATAAGTCAACAGGTGTAAGTATATCTACTACTCCATACTCTCCCACAGACGTCGTAAGAGATGATAGGTTGAAAACAATCTAGGAGATAAGAAGCAGCTTTTTCGGTCAGACCACAAGCCAAGCGTGGCAACTATGGCTATATCCCTATGAGGCACCCTATGAGGCAATCTATGGGGTAGGCCTATCTTCAGTAGTGGACTTTTGATGTCACAGGGGAGATGGAGGTGTTTGACGACCTGTTGCCAAAGGTAACCCTGGTTACCTTCAGTTTTTAGTTCAGGATATACGATGGTCCTGTCTACGCAGAATGAGCGTCCAGTATCTTGAAACTTGTAGTGGTATTCTTATGTTTGGATGTAATTTTATTATTTATAGCATCTCAAGCAGAAAAAAAAATAGTCTTTTCTATAGGATAGGGTGGGGTGACAAACGAGCACACAGTTCGTCTGATGGTAAGTGGTTGCTGTGGCCCATAGACACCAACATGTATTCTCGATTACGAATCAAAATGCAGAGGCGTTGTCACCCGTGAGAACTAAGATAGAATTCCTGAATTCCATAAAAAATGTCTCCGGTTCTCTACACTCACCATACGAAGCGCAGCACTAAGCTACTATTTAACGCTGGTATTCTGTGAGAGCGTGGTCCTTCCCCGGTCGAGCCGACCCATTCGTGCTACAACTATACCACAAATATAGCTGCAGCATGGCTCTACCACGTATAAAAATCTCATTTGTAACATACATGGTTACCACGCAAATATTTAGATAATTTTTGTTATTTTGAAGATTCTAGGAATAATATGTAGCACAAGTTTATCTGGGTCATATCGGTTAAGAGGTTATATAATATTACTTGCTTTAATAAACAATAGTTTCTTTTCCCTCTTTTGAACAGTGGTTTACAGGATTCCTCTGCGGTAGTGCAGTTGCTAAACGTTTGGTTCCTATACTACAGGGTCGCGGTTTCAAATCCCGAACGGATAGTGTTTGTGTGGAGTAAAATAATTACAAATAAAGTCTGGATGTTTTTCCATGTGAAAATTATACACATATGTATAACGCCTTCACGATACAGGAATAAATCCTATCGTAATATTTTCAAAAAAGAAGATGAGTAGTTGGCATATCATCAATGTTAAAATTCTTCTTTCTTTTTTTTAATAAAGGAGTGCACGTTTTTTACACGCACAGCTGTTTGGCGACAGAAATAGGTAAGAGGGTAGTAATACCTATCACAAAAAATAATATATATATATATATAGGCAGGCAGAAGCCTGAAGGCATTCCATCTCAGTTTTCAGTGGTGACAGACATGCCTCATTTGGTTGAAAGTTGACTGCGGGTTTTTTTTATAGAATATGAGTGACTAACGAGCACACAGTCCACCTGATGGATGATGTGGCCCATATACATCTACATTTATCCTCGATTAAGAATGACCGCATTGTCACCCTGAGAACTAAGATCGAATACCTCGTTTCCATTAAAAATGGTATCCGGATCTCTACACTCATCATACGCAACACAACAGTATTAAGCTGCTATTGAACGCTGGTATTCTGAGAGCGTGGTCCTTCCTCGGTCGAGCCGACCTATTCGTGCTACAACTATAATATAGCTGCAGCGTGGCTCTACCACGAACAAACGGTGGTATAAAATAGCCCATATCATCACGTGGGTGTCGTCAGAGGCGACAGAAGAAAACAAGTCAGGTGATGGGCGGTAACGTCTTCCTAATGACAACTAAAAAATAAATAACTGCGGTTGCTAACTCGCCCGCCAAGCATGGCAACTATGGCAAATATCCCTCCTGTGAAGCCTGATCTCAACAGTGGACTTCTGATAGGCTACAACGGTAACGGTAACCGCCTACGGGCTGCAGCAGCCACTTACCATCAGGTGGACTGTTAGTTCGCTTGTCAATTAATTTAAAAAAAAAGTATGTTGGACAATAGTAATAAATCAAGTTATTGTCGAAGTTTAGTGAATACGGTTACATTGTCGATATCGCGTAGGGAGAGCTTTTATCACAGAACACTTATTGAGCAAGCCATGCACTTAACCGATTTCTTATAGTAGGAGTTCATTGCTAAACGCTTTAAAAGGGTGCCGTTTTCTTTCTTGATAGTTTTTTTTGATAAGAAACTAACAGAAAAGAAGTCGTAGCATTATAATTTTGCTAATGCCCGATTCCTATATTCAACAAACGTTCAGTTCTTTGTTACGATTTTATTCATTACGTACGAAGTGCATGTAAAATAGTTTTTATTCGAAACTATACCTCTGGGAGAATAAAAAGATTTATTTTAAGCTTTAAGCTGTTGGAACAGTATTATGTTTTAAAAAGGTTGTTGTGCACTATTTACACTGTATAATGGGTAAAAAGAAAAACTAAACGTTTTACTAATATAAAGTTATTATATAAAGAATATAAAGATATTACCATACCATACCATATACCAAGGGACACAACGCCATTGTTCTATCACCCTTTCGAAAATTAGAAAGGAGGTGATAAAATGTTTTAAGTTATTTACTTATAGGTATATGAAATACTAGGTTTAAGTGTATTATTATTTTTACACAATAATGTTGTAGTATCCTGATTAATGTCTCATGATTTACAGTGTTGTGGAGGTGTGAAAATATCCTACACCCAATATCGCTCCGTGGATATCTACGAGTATCTTAAGAGGCGACAAAGAAAAATAAACCAGGGGATGAGCAGTAGCGTCTTTTTAAAAACAACTAAAAATATGCGGATGCCAACTTGCTTGCCAAGTGTGATAACTATGCAAATATCTCCCTATGAGGTAATAAATGAGGGAGGTATATATTACTCCTTTCGAACATTGGAGGATGCCCGTGCCTAGCGTTTTAAGGCTGTGGCTCTATATTTTACTGTTACGCTTACAGTAAATGTCATGTGGAGTAACAGTTCGGTAAAATCAGTTATTGATCAAAAGGTTATTTATAGCGAATCAATTTCCACGTGCTTAATTTTGAGCTATTATTGATGATTATAAATAAGACTGTATTTATTGATTTATTACTTCTGAATATATGATTATATTTTGTATAAATTGTTTCATAAAAAATAAATATAAGCGTTTCATTTATTGATTATTAGATATTATTGTAACGAATATATCAAATTGAGTGAGTTTATCATTAACTTTGCTTATGACGAAAAGTAAATATTTTCCTAATAATTTTATAATGAAATATTCATGTATTTCACGCATGAAAACTTTTTCTTCAATTAAAATTGTAAAAATCGACATGAAAATATAATATAAATGAAGACCAATTAATATTAAAATTGTTTTTGGAAAATTAATATTGTTTGCTATTTTTAAAATGTGCTAGTGTTAGTTAGTGTCTAGTGATGCATTTTGGATATTTTTATATAATAATCTACTGAAATCGTTATAATTTAATAATAAATATTTTTAACTTACATAGAAAAGTCCAAGATATCTACTCAACTGAAAACTATGCAAGTTCTTATTGTAGACCTTATAAATGAATTATACGTGGTGAATTTAATAATTGGATAATATTTTAGAGCGACATACACACCACACGAGCACTATATCTAAAGTACAGACCGCACGTCCGACGAGTGTAGCGTCTGCTTTTATACTAACAGGCGCATAAACGTAATCCCCACAAGTGCTTTGATATTAGGTTGAGTTATTATTTATAAAATAGCTTGACTGACAGACACGGAACTGACGACTGATCGTAAATGGGAAATCCATTCGAAAATATTGAAACAATATACTAGCGAAATGTAAATTGTAGAGTCTTATCAAGTGGCTATTTGAATTAAAGTTAAACGTGTATAGACCAAGAATCGTGATTAAAACGTTTTTTACATATTATAAACCTAAATATTAATTTTAAAGATGTAATGACTATTTTATTTTTATTCGTGGTAGAGCCATGCTGCAATTATATTAGTAGTATAGTTGTAGCACGAATAGGTCGGCTCGATCGGGGAAGGAGTACGCTCCTTCCCCGATCTGCGGAGTACCTGCGTTACATTTTAGTTTAATGCTGCTGTGTTTCGTATAGTAAGTGTAAAGGATCGGAGACCCTTTTTACTGGAAACGAGGCATTCCATCTTAGTCCTCACGGGTGACAACGCATCTGCATTTTGATTCGTAATCGAGGATAGGTGTAGATGTCTATGCCACTCATAGACATCTACACCAACAACGCAACAACTTACCATCAGGTGGACTGTGTACTAGTTTGTAATCCTCGTATCCTATAAAAAAACCACGTGCCCGTCGGTTATTAATCTGCAAGTCTGAGATATAAAAAATATTTCGAAGATATCTGATGTGCACCAACACGCATTGGCGCAGCGCGGCGGACACTTCCTTGCCCCAAAACCCTCTCAGAAGTTAGAGGAGGCCTGTGGGCCAGCAGTGGGACGTATATAAGCTGTAACTTTAATTTATGACTGCCTATTGTTTCTTGACATTGGTTTTCGCCATTATTTTTTTATGAATTTTTCTAAAGAACACAGAACACAAACGAATACACAGAATGAGTCAACAGATTGTAAGTACAGGCTGTAGCACATAGACTTCTACATCTATTCTTGTTAAAGAATCAAAATACAGATGCCTCGTTTTCAGTAAATAGGGTCTCAGCTCTACGACTATGTTGATGATAACGCTCTTTTTAGGTTTTTGAGGTATTAAACACCTTTGCTTTTTACAAGGCGGTAACTCCTTTTGTGCCACGAGTGCGTCTGGGTAGTTACCAGCTTCTTAACTATTGCTGCCAGCAAACAGTAGTGCTGCATTGCTGTGTTCCTGTCTCAAGAGCCAGTGTAATTACAGCCTGTAAGTTATTGCATCTTCGTTCTTGCAGGTGACAAGGCTGTAGGCTTCTTTATGTGAAGTTGGCTGCAGGTGTTTTTGGACCGCAGGGGTATCAGGTAGATTGCAAGTTCGTCTGTTCCTTCTGTTTTATAAAAAAAACATTATTAGCATGAGTTACGAGTTCGTAAGTGATGGAGAGAGCTGCATTGTTAATAAGGTTGTAAGCGCAAATGGGCCGACGCCACCAGGAAAACAGCGCATAATGATCCTATTTCGGACGGTGAGTGACGCATAGTGGAGACTTTTTTTTTTAGTTTTTAGGGGTGACAACGCATTTGCATTTTGATCCTTAATCGGGGAGATGGGGAGATGTAGTTGTTTATAGGCTAAAGTATTTACATGTCTTCAGGTGGACTGTGTGCTCGCTTGTTATCCCTTTTATATAAAAAAAAAATTGTAGAATATAATTTCAATTGTTTGTTTAGAATACGGGTCACAAAGGCGCACACCTGAAGGTAAGTGAATGCCGTGGCCTATGTCTATCCTCCAGTAAGAATCAAAATATAGATCTTTGAGAATAAAGAACGAACAACTCGTTTCCATTAAAATGATCTTCCGTTCTCAACACTCACCATACACATATTTAAAAAAAATTATAAATCTATTGGGATATATCCGCCATTAAAGTAGAAAAGAAGTTCGTGTTTGTAACTTGTGTAAGTTTTTTAAAAGGGATTAAGATAAAAAGGGTGTCGTGAAAAACAAAGTTGTAATTAAATTATCTTTTTACAACTGAAAGTTGTTGGTTAGAATACTTTGAATTTAGAACGACGCGACGTTTTGAATATTCAAAAGTTTTTTTTTTTTTAAGTTTGTACAAATAACCGCCAGAAACGTGATATTTAATTTTTTTCAAGTTCAAATGAAAAGTCCACTGCTGAACATAGGCATCCTTCATAAATTACCACAACAGGGGATTTTGTCACAGTTGCCACGCTTGGCAAACGGGTTGGCAACCACAGTTTTTTAATTATGTTGATTTGTTACCAGGAAGATGATGGTGGCCATCTCCTGTTTCATTTTGACTCTGTCATCTCTTACGACACCCTCGGCACGATATGGACGAGTGGATATTCGTACACCGCCACTACATGGTATTTTATAATATTATAGATAATATTATAGTTAAAGAGCTTAAGACGAGGTCTTAGCACGATTTCAAATTCGTTTTTCACCCGCGCGTCCCGCAGTGGGCGGAGGCAACCGGCTGTCGGAGAGCGCCGCGTGAACACAGTATGCGCAAAGCAAGCAGACAATTCACCTCCAAACAAAAACTTTTCCGTGAGGTCTACTGTTCTCAACAGTACTAGGTATAATAGTAATAATATTTTGAGTACCTACTCACTAATATCAAAACTGTTTACAATATCGGTAGTCTGGATATCATACTACATTTTAATTATCAATATTTTTTTAAAGTTAGTTTTATGATATGAGCAGGTACTTAGTCAACTATATACATACATAAACATTTAAAACGCCAACTCACAAATTCTAAAAAAAACCAAGTTTCGTTGGTAAAATAGTTAAAATAAGAGAAAAAGAATAGTTTCAAATAAAACCATTAGAAAATCAAATTTATTTTACTGTATTCTATTACCTTACCTCCGGACTTGATGGAGTGACCTGAAGGTGTACTTTGGCAATCGGCATTGGAACAGGTCGCTGAGTACTACTAGGTGTGCCGAGTTTGGCCTCGTTTTGTTAGGTATGACGAGCCCTTCCCTCCGGTCTTGACGGAGTGACCTGAAGGTGTACTTTGGCAATCGGCATTGGAACAGGTCGCTGAGTACTACTAGTTGTGCCGAGTTTGGCCTCGTTTTGTTAGGTATGACGAGCCCTTACCTCCGGACTTGACGGAGTGACCTGAAGGTGTACTTTGGCAATCGGCATTGGAACAGGTCGCTGAGTACTACTAGGTGTGCCGAGTTTGGCCTCGTTTTGTTAGGTATGACGAGCCCTTCCCTCCGGACTTGACGGAGTGACCTGAAGGTGTACTTTGGTAATCGCTAATTGGAACTAGTCCCCGAGTACTACTAGGTGTGACGAGTTTGGGCTCGTTTTGTTAGGTATGATGAGTCCTTATCTCCGAACGTAACGGAGTGACCTGAAGGTGTACTTTGGTAATCGCTATTGGAACTGGTCGCTGAGTACTACTAGGTGTGACGAGTTTGGGCTCGTTTTGTTAGGTATGATGAGTCCTTATCTCCGAACGTAACGGAGTGACCTGAAGGTGTACTTTGGTAATCGCTATTGGAACAGGTCGCTGAGTACTACTAGGTGTGCCGAGTTTGGGCTCGTTTTGTTAGGTATGACGAGCCCTTCCCTCCGGGCTTGGCGGAGTGACCTGAAAGTGTAATTTGGTAATCGCTATTGGAACTGGTCGCTGAGTACTACTAGGTGTGCCGAGTTTGGGCTCGTTTTGTTAGGTATGATGAGTTCTTATGTTCGGACTTGATGGAATGACCTGAAGGTATACTTTAATAATCGCTATTGGAACTGGTCCCCGAGTACTACTAGGTGTGCCGAGTTTGGACTCGTTTTGTTAGGTATGACGAGCCCTTACCTCCGGACTTGATGGAGTGACCTGAAGGTGTACATTGTGTGGTATATTGTTTGTAGTTTAGTATCTCATATGTTTAGCTTTAGGTATAGGGTAGACTCGAAAAACGATTGTAAGACGATTTCGGGCGGTGGCAGTCTCGCAATAAACGTGGAACAATTAAGAGTGTCTTATTTCGCACTTTGGTAATCGGTATTGGAACTGGTCGCCGAGTACTACTAGGTGTGTCGAGTTTGGTCTCGTTTTGTTAGGTATGACGAGCCCTTACCTCCGGACTTGATGGAGTGACCTGAAGGTGTACTTTGTGTGGTATATCGTTTGTAGTTTAGTATCTCATATGTTTAGCTTTAGGTATAGGGTAGACTCGAAAACCGATTGTAAGACGATTTCGGGCGGTGGCAGTCTCGCAATAAACGTGGAACAATTAAGAGTGTCTTATTTCGCACTTTGGTAATCGGTATTGGAACTGGTCGCCGAGTACTACTAGGTGTGTCGAGTTTGGTCTCGTTTTGTTAGGTATGACGAGCCCTTACCTCTGGACTTGATGGAGTGACCTGAAGGTGTACTTTGGTAATCGGCACTGGAACAGGTCGCCGAGTACTACTAGGTGTGCCGAGGTTGGGCTCGTTTTGTTAGGTATGAAGAGTCCTTACCTCCGGATTTGACGGAGTGACCTGAAGGTGTACTTTGGTAATCGGTATTGGAACTGGTCGCTGATTACTACTAGGTGTGCCGAGTTTGGTCTCGTTTTGTTAGGTATGACGACCCCTTACCTCCAGACTTAATGGAGTGACCTGAAGGTGTACTTTGGTAATCGGCACTGGAACAGGTCGCCGAGTACTACTAGGTGTGCCGTGTTTGGGCTCGTTTTGTTAGTTATTATGAGTCCTTACCTCCGGACTTCAAGGAGTGACCTGAAGGTGTACTTTGGTAATCGGTATTGGAACTGGTCGCTGAGTACTACTAGGTGTGCCGAGTTTGGGCTCTTTTGTTAGGTATGATGAGTGCTTA